TCTGGAAGTATTCTCTCCTGACATTTTGCCCACATCTATGGCAGGCTTCCTCAGAGGTTGAGAGGTCTGTTGGAAACTAGGCAAATGGGGTTTACTTGTATGTTACTGAAGCAATACATGTTAAGCTGCAGAAGGACCAGAAAACTCAAGAACATGTATTGTCAAAGGCTTTCATGGCCGGAATCACTGGGTTGTTGTAGGTTTTTTTGGGCTATATGGCCATGTTCTAGAGGCATTCTCTCCTGATGTTTCCCCTGCATCTATGGCAAGCATCCTCAGAGGCATCGCCTATGATGACAATGACATGTTAAGCACCCAAAATGCTTTTCATTAACCTACAACAATCCAAATTCAAGAACATCTGGTGGACAAAAAAGGCTGAAGAAATCCAACATCTTCCAAATGTCCATGAAGCACGGGGATTCTTTAATGGCACAAAGATCATCTATGGCCCAAGAAATCATGGCATACACCCTTTACGTCCATCAGATGGAACTAAATTTCTAAAGGACAAAAGATCAATTGCACTAAACTGGAAAGAGCACTACCATGACCTCCTGAACCGCAGCTCTAATGTGGCTGAAGAGGTTATCTCATAAATCACACAACAACAAACCAGGGATGAGTTTGCAGCATGGCCTAGTTTGGAGGAAGTCATCAAAGCCATTAGCCAATTTAAAAATAACAAAGCCACTGGGAAATCTTAACAAGAATCCTTGCAAACGTCCCTCAACCTATCTCAGAAGACATCCTCCCAGAATCCCAGAACGGCTTCCGCCCCTCCAGAGGAATAGTGGATATGATCTTTGATACACAACAGCTCCAAGAAAAATGCAGGGAACAAAATCAACCTCTGTACATGGCATGCATTGACCTTGCAAATGCATTTGACACAGGGAATCACAATGTCCTCTGGACCATCCTCTTGAAAATTGAATGCCCGGATAAATTCTGCATGATGACAACAGTCTTGAACAGCAGTGGCTTCCAAAGTGACCCATTTAAGATGGAATCAGGTGTCAAACAGGGATGTGTTAGTGCCCCAACCTTATTTTCCATCTTCATAATTTTGATTCTGCAACTTGTTGATGGGAAGCTTCCCACTGGTGTGGAAATCACCTACCAGACAGATGGCAAACTATTCAATCGTACTCAGCCACAAGGGATCGCCTATGATGACAATGACATGTTAAGCACCCAAAATGCTTTTCATTAACTGTTTGAGTACTGGACATCATCATTATCAATCACCATCATTTACAATTAAAGAGCTCAAGATTACAAAGTAATCCTGCTCTCCATCCATGCAGTTCCAGTTGGGTGAAGTAGGGCTATGTTGTTGTTGTTGTTTCTGCTGCTGCTGCTGCTGTTGTGGTTTTTTGTGTCAGGAGCAACTTGAGAAACTTCAAGTCGCTTCTGGTGTGAGAGAATTGGCCATCTGCAAGGACATTGCTCAGGGGACGCTCGAATGTTTTCATGTTTTACCATCCTTATGGGAGGCTCCCCTCATGTCCCTGCATGGGGAGCTTGAGCTGACAGAGGCTCTTCCCAGATTTGAGCCTCCAACTTGTCAGTCTCCACTCCTGTCGGCACAAGGGTTTAACCCACAAGTCATTCCCAATGTATGACAACCCTAAGGCAAACCAATCTTCCCATGTTGTTTTCTCAGCAAGATTTGTTCAGAGAGGGTTTGTATTTGTCTTCTTCTGAGGCTGAGAGAATGTGACTTGCCCAAAATCACCCAGTGGCTTTCTGTGATCAAGAGGGGATCTGAATCCTGGCCTCCTGGAGTCCTATTTCAACACTCAAACCATTGGACCTTCTGTTACTTGTCTTTTTATTTGCTCAAAAGCAGGCAAACATCGAATCTAGAGCATACCATGGAAAGACAGAAGTTTAACATATTCTCATGTGTTGTTTCCTTGTGTCTTTCTCTTTGTCCCACCCAGTTTAACAGTTGGATTGCTTCCTTGAAAATCTGATGGGCAAAGGACTAAGAGCACAGTTGTCACTTTGGATGTAAGTAGAATTAGGAAATCTCTGTGGAATGTGCCATCGGTGGCACTTGATTCAAGTGAAGATAATCCAGTCTCAGCAAGTTTGAGATGATAGGAAGCTAAGCGAACACTTCCTGTGGTACAGCACAGCGGAATACCTGCTCCCGCTTGATCCTTCTAAGAATTTTTCCTCTACTGTTGCAGCTGAATGCAGGATCTCCTCCAAGGATCTTAAGGCAGGTTTATATGGGGAAATGAGGTGTTTCAGATAGTCTGGAGCTGTTTCAACAGGAGCATAATATGTTTCCTATAACCTGTCCCAATCAGCAGTCTGGCCATAGGATTTTGGATTCACTGAAGTTTCCAGTTTCCAAAGACAGTCTCACATAAAGTGCTTTCTAGTTATCCAAACAAAATGTAGTCAAGGCACATGTTACTTTTGCCAAATCTGGTGTTTTCAGGAATAGGTGTAATTGGCACCTTCGTTTTAACAGTGAAAATGTACTCCTGGCCACTGACAAAGCCTGGTCATCCAGAATCAGGGTTGAATCCAAACTACAGACCTGAGTTTCCAAAGGAAGTGTGACTCCAACCAGTAGAGACTAAATCCCTACACCAGTGTTTCTCAACCTGGGGGTCAGGACCCCTTGGGGGGATCACAAGGGGGGTTTCACAGGATTTGCCAAAGACCATCAGAAGACACATATTTCTGATGGTCTTAGGAACTCCTTTGGCAGAGAAGGCTGAAGATCTATCTGCCTGTCTTTCTCTTCCTTTTTGAAAACACACTGGGAATTCTCCCACCAAAAGCCTTCTTCTGTGATTTGCTGCCCACTCAGGTTGCCTCTCAACAAGGGGAGGGCTGTTTCTGAGACTCCAAGTGGGGAGGGGAGAGTAGGCATGCTCAGCGCATGGCAGCGTGGTGCGCATGCATGGGCAAGGGACAGTGTGCTAGGTGGGAGGGAGGCTCACGCCAGCAAGTCCTTTCAAGGTAGGGAGGTTCTGTGTGAGAAGTTTGGCCCAATTCTACTGTTGGTGGGGTTCAGAATGATCTTTGATTGTAGGTGAACTATAAATCCCAGCGACTACAACTCCCAAATGTCAAGGTCTATTTTCCCCAAACTCCACCAGTGTTCACATTTGGGCATATTCGGTATTTGTGCCAAGTTTAGTCCAGATCCATCATTTTTGAGTCCACAGTGCTCTCTGGATGTAGGTGAACTACAACTCCAAAATTCAAGGTCAATGCCCACCAAACCCTTCCAGTTTTTTTTCTGTTGATCACAGGAGTTCTGTGTGCCAAGTTTGGTTCAATTCCATTGTTGGTGGAGTCCAGAATGCTCTTTGATTGTAGGTGAATTATAAATCCCAGCAACTACAACTCCCAAATGACAAAATCAATCCCCCCCCCCCAACCTCGCCAGTATTCAAATTTGGGTGTATCAGGTATTTGTGCCAAATTTGGTCCAGTGAATGAAAACATATCATGCATATCAGATATTTACATTATGGTTCATAGCAGTACAAAATTACAGTTATGGAGTCACAACGAAAATAATTTTATGGTTGAGGGTCACTATGACATGAGGAACTGTATTAAGGGGCCACGGCATTAGGAAGGCTGAGAACCACTGCTATAACTGTCCCAATCAGCAATCTGGCACAGGATTTCGGATTCACTGAAGTTTCTAGTTTCTAAATACAGTCTCACATAAAGTGCTTTGTAGCTATCTAAACAAAATGCAGTCAAGGCACATGTTATTTTGGCCAGGAATAGATGTAATTGGCACAGTAGTGTAAACAGTGCAAATGTACCCCTGGCCACTGACAAACCTCAGTCACCCAGAATCAGGGATGAATCCAAGCTACAGACCTGAGTTTCCAAAGGGAGTGTCACTCAGTCCAGTAGAGACTAAATCCCTACACTGTGTTCTGCCATTGAACCGACCAGAACCGCCTCAGTCCTTTCTGGATTAAGCTTCATCCAGTCCATTACCAGCAACAGACATTGATTTAAGACTGAAACTGCTTCCTTAGAGTTAGATGGAAGATGCGGCAAAGTGTTGCTGGAATACACCTAGCCCCCAAACTCTAGACAACCTCTCTCAATGGCTTTGTTAAATATGCTTTTACTGGAAAGAGAAAGAGAAGAGGGAAAGAGAGGGAAAGCCTTTCCTCTTTCCATCCTGTCTCCCTATTTATCCTTCCCCTGCCAGATGCCTTTCTCATCCTATGCCTTCAGAGCTAATTTCAAATCCAGTTGTGTGTGACGCAGACCTTTTTGCAGGAGGGGGGAAGTTATTGGGTCCTCTTTGTCAAAACTCAGGTACATGTGAGGTGGCTGGCTCTTGCAGCAATTTAGTGGCTACCTCTGGCCCAGAAGTGGCCCAGCTGATTAGATTGATGGCTTCCTGACGTCAGACACGATCCGTTAAAAGGTATTTATCTCAAGCTTGGGCCAAAGCTGCAGGGAGAGATTAAAAGAGATTGAGGCCAAGATAATCCTTCTACAGCAGCATCCCAGAACACACAGCTGCCAAAAGGCCTTCGATCAAATGCTTTTGTCAGCCCGCCACTACACACTTTCGTCTTCTGGTTCCGAACAAGAGGTGTTTCCCTCGAAAGTCAGATTGTGGTCCCATTGCAGCCCTTTCCCAATGTGGGCCTCTGAGGTGGGCCCCACCAGAGAACAAAAAGGGCCTCCATACACCATGCCTGCCTGGCCCTTCCTGAGCCATTCCCTTCTACTATGTGTAGATACATTTTTTCCTGGATTAATCTGTGTTATATTAATGCAGTACTAATGCACAAAAACAAATGATATCAAACCCTGTGGTTGTGTGTTTTTCTTTCTTCCAAAAGCACATTACTCTCCCTCGCTGTCCCCTCCCAATCCACCTGCTTTGCATTAAGTCCCAATCCGATTTCCCCAACTCGCTGGTGTCTGATTTAATTTGCCTGATGCTGCTCCTGGAATTGGCCCTCCCCCAAACCCTTGCCCTCCCTCCACCGTATCTCAGCTCCCCACAGGGAGACCTATCCTGGGAGAGGATGAGACACTGAGAGAGTGAGGGAGAGATACAAGGCGTGTGGACTGACGGCTGGTGCTGGAACAGGGACGGCAGAAGTTAGCTAGTGCCGGGTGGCCAGCATCTCCTGGCCCGAGGGAGCCAATCTCCCCCCGCTGGGAGCTAGGGGGTCCTGAGCAGGAGGAACCAGCCCATAGAGTACGGTAAGAATGTCTCCTCCAACATCCCTCACCCACAATCCCACCACCTCTTGTTCTTCCTCCCTTCCTTCCTTGGACCTGGTATCTGAATCCTTTGCTTCTCTGACTGATGCGGAATACAATTCTCCTCTCATTGTTGGTATGTGGAAAAGGCGTTCCTTTGGGTGTTCCTTGGAAAGGAAAAGGTCAGTTAGAAAGTTATTGAAAAGACAATTTCTTTAGAACCACTTTTATTTCTTTACCTTCACATGCAACACTTTTCAAACCTTCATGTCTATCAAGGCAGAAGCATACGCATTGTCGCTCCTGAAGTCTTCCTGTTTGAATGCATCTCATCCTATAAACTCATTACAAAACAGACACTTGGGGACCTGGAGGGAAAATAATTTTGGGTTGGTTCTCCTGAGGTTAATGAGAGGGAGCAACACAAACATGGCAGAAGTCCTACATAGTTTCCCAGGATTTCTTTTTTACTTCTGACTCACAATTCAGAGTGTCTTGATGGGATCCCATCACTCTTTGCACGGGTCCTGTGCTTGCAACATTTTTTAGTGTTTTTGATTTTCTTTGGAGAAGATATCTTGAGATATGGACTGTGGAACAGAGAAGAAAAGAGATCAGGGTAATTTTATCCTGCCCTTTGATCTCTCCTCTGGCAGGAGGTGGTGGATCAGCTCTCTATCCCATTCCAAAGGAGCTCAGGGTCAACAGGGCAACCAAGTACGGCCCGCCCAGGGATTACATAGAGCCCCAAGACATCTGCTAATCCTTCGTCCTTCCATACCTTTCTCTTTTCTATTTACAGCACCTTCCTGCCTCAAGAGGAAATCTTGGGGTTTCGTGGAATTGCAAGGGAGGGGAGAACCTGACCTGTCTCCTGAGTCGGTTCGTGCCACATATTGACCAGTCCTTTTTTATATGGCTCTAAATAAGAACCAGAGAGTTAGTGTTAGGAGGGAAGGACAGCGACACATATTGCTGATACAATAATATAGTTACGTCGGAATAATTACCCTTCAATCCTATATGCTGTTTGTGTATGAACTGGTTTGTAGTGCATAGAGAGTTGTAACCACCACAGTCAAGACTTATTTTTGCTACACACTACACCGCAAACACACACCTAGAGTCTTCTACTAGCATTTACAAGATTTTAAAGACTAAGGCCCCTTCCACACAGCTGAATAATATCCCATATTCTCTGCTTTGAATTGGGATATATGAGAATGTGGACTCAGATAATTCAGTTCAAAGCAGATACGGCTCTCAATAAGAACCAGAGAGTTAGTATTAGGAGGGCAAAACAGCAACACATGTTACTGTTACAATAATATAGTTATGTCTCAATAGTTACCCTTCAATCCTATATGCTGTTATAGGAACAAGGCCCCTTCCACACAGCTGAATAAAATCCCATATTTTCTGCTTTGAACTGGGATATATGGGAGTGTTAACTCAGATAACCCAGTTCAAAGCAGATACTGTGGGGTTTTCTTCCTTGATATTCTGGATTATATGGCTGTGTGGAAATGCCCGAACATATTTTATTTAGCACAAGTCAAAGAAATACCAATAGGATGAAGGTCACAGAAGCATGTGGCCAACAAAACCTGTTAAACTTTTAAGATACTGCAAGACACTTTGTGGTTTTTGCTGCATCAGTCTAATGCAGCTACTACCTAGGCATGTAGAAATTACGAGATCCCAACTCATGCAATTTACTCATCAGATTGTGTGGAAAGTGAAGCATATTGGGATTAAGATATAGAGATAAGGTAGTTTCCTGAAGTTGTAACAGTACTAAACATAGGACGGTTCTTCAATTCGCACAATATTCCTTGCTGGGATATTTGATAAGGGATAAGTTCACATAGTTGTTTAACTAGCTCCAGGTTAAGACTTATTTACACATCACAGCAATATACTCAAAGGAGTATTGACGGCTTCATCTATATTTGCTGTTTTGCCAGAAACGAAATAGTGTTTGGTTCTAAGATAAATACTACTGCAAATGTAGTAAGTTGCAATGTAGAGCAGTTCTTTAGCTTGATCTAGAGCAGTGGTTTCCAAACTGTGGTCCGTGAACCACCAGTGGTCTGCAAGAACTAAAACATGGTCCATGGCCTCACCATTACTACACCGTTGTAACGGGAGCAACCAATCTTGCAAAACCCTCTTATAGTGCAGAGGCTTATTAAATATGGTTTTCTGTGGGCAAGCAGATGGCAACTACTGGATGGCATATGTTCTGTATCGGAAAGTAGAGCTGATGTGGTCTATCCAATTTTCTGAATCAGCAATTTTCTGAATCAGCACCCCAAATGACCAAACCAAATCTAAAGTTGACCAAAAACCGATTTGTAACCCTTTTAGTACTAATGTTGGAGAGTGGTCCCTGGTCAAAGTGATCCCTAGTCAAGTGGTCCCTGGTCAAAAAAAGGTTGGGAACCACTGATCTAAAGCACATTTTCCCAAACCATGTAGATCACAAGTGGGACATGTCACTTGCTAGGTCATACAACAAAGAGTTGTATCCCTCCTTTCTAGAGAACTTTCTCTGTCTTTCAATATACTAACATACTATCTCTGTCCCCTTCCCATTGAATTCATACTCCCTATGTACTAGATTAACACTAAATTTAAAAAAATTGAATGTAAAGTTTTGCAGGTTTAACTGCTGATCTTAGTGACTTCTCTTGCAGGGAGAGAAAGAAAGAATAGGGCTTCACCTGTTTACAGGTAAATCCAGAAAGGTGGATGCTTAGGAGGCATGACTCTAGCACTGGCGCCCAAATGATGGTTCTTCATCTGCTTTGGACTTCATAACCTAGAAGCACGGAGCCAGCCTGGCCAACAGTTAAACATTCTGGGAACTGAATCCCAAAGCCATCATTTGGGGAAAATGGCTCCAGAGTAATATGCATTACCTAATGTCCTCTCTATATACCATAGTAAAAGCATTAGTTCCCAGCTGTAAGTTAGTAGGATAGTGGTGCTCATCATAAGATTTCCCAATGAAGGCCCAAAATTGCAGGATAATGTTTTAATCCATATCAGCAAACCAGTTCCTGCAGTTTTCATATCTGCCAAGCTAAAGACTTTTAATTGTTTATTTGAAGCCAAGCCCCTTTTCCAAATACTCTTTATTGTCTTAGGAAAAACTCAAAACAATATATTGTTGATGGGAGAGACAGTATTCAAATCCTCTCAGGTTTGCAGTTGTGGGATGCGGAGGGGGCCACCCCATCCTTGTCCATTTAAATGTGGTGGTGCTCCGACTCCCTGAGGCCCCTTCCATACAGCAGAATAAAATCCCACATTTTCTGCTTTGAACTGGGACATATGGCAGTGTGGACTCAAATAACCCAGGTATTGTGGGTTTTTCTGCCTTGATATTCTGGGTTATATGGCTATTGTATATTCTGGGTTATATGGCTGTTGCTTATTTTCTGTTATGAGTTTTATTTACTGTTTGTATTATTGTTGTTTTTGCTTTTGTTATTGCTGTGTTGTGGGCTCGGCCTTATGTAAGCCGCACAGAGTCCCTTGGGAGATGGTAGCTGGGTACAAATAAAGTTGTTGTTGTTATTATTATTATTATTATTATTATTATTATTATTATTATTATTATTATTATTATTATTATTGGAAGGGCCCTGGGTCCACTATGTTGCTGCCCTGCCATGAGGGTGCATTTCTCAGATGTGGCAGAATAATGAATAGAAAGCAACAATGCATATTTGTCATTCATGTTGGATAGGGGTATGTATATTATCTCAGTGGATGGACAGGTATTAAAAATGCTGACAAAAGACAAGATACAGTTCAGAAGAAGGAAGCTAAAAGATCAGCCAAATCTGGGAGTAAAGCAGCCACTTTGGATGTGATGAGTTGGTGTGCTAAGAAGTAGTGTGGGTTATACAATAGCAAGATGGCCACTCGAGGCTGATGGATGGAAACCTGAGCTGCCTGGGTGCTGCAGTGAGCTAGGATTGATGGTTGATGATGTCCAGAGACTCCTCGATGTTACTGAACCCACCGACTGAAATGAGATCTGGCAGACTATGTGAAGATGTTTAAAAAGAATGACATTTATGGTTTGCCTTGACCAAAGCAAAAGTACAGATATGAGAAGTTATGAAAAACAAAACAAATCTAGGAAATATGCAGGGTTTTGAATGGATGCCAGACCCTAGGAGATACAGTACAGAGAAAAGAGCGTGTGGGAGCAGAGAAGGTGTTTCTGGGTTGCTGTGAATTTTCTGGGCTGTATGGCCATGTTCCAGAAGCATTCTCTCCTGACATTTCACCCACATCTATAGCAGGCATCTTCAGAGGTTGTGAGATGTATATAAACTCACAGCAACCCATTGATTCTGGCCATGAAAGTCTTTGACAACACAGAGAAGGTGTTTTTTGTAATATCTGAATGACAACCATAACAACATTCACTACATTTGACCAGAAAGAAAGAAGGAAGGAAGGAAGGAAGGAAGGAAGGAAGGAAGGAAGGAAGGAAGGGAAGGGAAGGGAAGGGAAGGGAAGGGAAGGGAAGGGAAGGGAAGGGAAGGGAAGGGAAGGGAAGGGAAGGGAAGGGAAGGAAGGAAGGAAGGAAGGAAGGAAGGAAGGAAGGAAGGAAGGAAGGAAGGAAAGAAAGAGCTGTGAGGAAACAACGTCAGAGCAAACATCTTGTCAACTCAGTGGCTGGAAGAACAAGTTGCCAAAGTAGAGATTGCACCCAAAAAAGCTGAGAAGCATTGCTGTTTAGAGAAGACAAATCTGCTGATGTTGCTTATTCCAAGTCCTGTATGGGTCACTTGACAACAACCCATGAAGAAAACTGGCAACAGGGCTACCATGATACTTTGCAGCCTTTTCACAGAGGATCAAAGGACCAAGGAAGGCCGTGTTTGACTTATATGTACTGGATAATATTTTGTACTTGGGTATGGTTCAAATTCTTGCTTGGCCAGCAAACCCTTTAGGTGACTTTGGGATAGCTG